CGGAATTAGGGTCAAAAAATTAAGGTGAACTTTTTAACCCTGGTCAGTACATGCTCCATTAATTTAAAGTGGGAATATTACTTTATACCGTCCCACAGTGATTTTTTTAGGCTTATATGTCTCAAGTCTCCTTGTAAGGTAGGTTATTTAGTGTTTCGTGCCGTATCGCGAGCCTTAAATTATTATCGCCGTATCGCGAGCCTGAAATTATTATTGCTATATTGCAAGCCTTAAATTATTATCGCTGTTATTATTAATTAAAAAAGTTAATATTAAAAGGTTATTTAAGCTAATTAATAAGCTTATTTTATTTAAAGAAGAATATTAATTACTTTAATTAATAGAAATTAATATAAAGCTACTATTAATATTTTTAACGAAGAATTTTTAAAAGATTTCACGTAAATCTTAATAATTAAGCCTTTTATAAGTATTAAAGTTACCTCTATTAGCTTAATATATTATAAGTAAAGATAAATAAAGGTTTATGTAAAATATTTAAGTCTTTACTTAAATTTATATGTTATATCCAGCTAATTTAAGTCTAGCGCCTATATTATACTAAATTATGCGTCGAAATTAAGGTCAAAAGATTGACCCCAATTCCGGGAATCACACCCCAACAAGTGGAGAGGGGAACCCTGTCACTGACTGCCACTTACTAGGTCTGTGCAGAGAATCCAAGAGGAAAATCAGACGGATAGGTAAGGTGCAAATACCTAATGTTCGAGCAACAATGACCAGAGCGGGGTAAGGTTGCGTGTTGCGCACGTCCAATGGATATGACTCACTGCCGCTGCGAGGACCTGAGCACACGAGACGTGCTCTGGGCATTTTACCAGGATTTAGGGCAGCCTCGAGTATAGAATGTGAGTAATTGACTCCCACATGCTACTACAGTGGCGCCGCAAAGCCTGAAACCATCCGAGTACCTTTCTTTACCGCCTCCTTATTGAGAACGTACCGTCAATTAGCTACAATCTATAAATGGTGCGGCCACTATTTGCCGGCAGAATAATTAACGTGATACATCATTTGGTTTCAGACTTTTGCAGCGTCACTTGAAGGAGCGCCTTCAGGCCAGTCTACTAATAAAACTTCTTAACCACAAGGATCCGTATGATATCAACAGTTGAGAGGACATATACTGAGGGGATCCATGTATGGGCTCCAAAGAGATACGGCATATGTACATTAGGACATGTATTCTCTTCTCATTGTTAAGCGTGTCTATGCGAAAGTAAGATGTTCATACTGCGTTCTGGGGCTCGGAAAATGTAGAATGAGACTGCCGTCTTTCTTATGCTTATTGTAGTAATTTGGAGCTATGCAGTATGTGAGTAGCGTATCATGATGGACTAAACAATGTACGTACCGTCGCAAGTTGAGTCTGAAGTTTGGGCTTTATACAGGCAATGACTGTCAAGCCTGATATAACAAGGAATAACCCCATTGAGCCAATAGACGCTGCCCACAAAGCTCGTTGGTGTCTCGCAGTTGTGAGGTCTGGCTCTCGCCAAACCATTTTGTAAGTACTTATTTGCGTACAGCATGGCTTCATGCAAATGACCCAGGCCCGAATAATTTGAGCATGAACGAAGCTTAGACTAGCCAAGCATAAGATTATATATGATAGAATGAACGCTCTGTGATGCTCCTGCATTTTGGGTCAATTATGCACGTGCGGTAGACAAGAAACCCCCCTTTGAAACGCACCGGAAAATACAAGGAAAGCGATAGAGCAGTAACTGCTCCCACCAATAACAGGGCAGATATCATATGGGTTAATGAGGATTGCAAAGTGGAAACAGATAGGTACTGAAAAGGTCAGTGTCGCTCTCCTTCTATCCAAGCGCCCTTACCTCATTCAAATTGAGTAAAAGAAAAACACTGCCAATTTCCTGCTGCAGTATTGGCCAAGACAGGTCTGGAACAGAGTTAGACACGATAGGGATTGAGAGGAGGGGGCTGGATCATTTACCTTTCGTCCGCCTCAATTCAAACAGTAGGAGCGGAATAGATGCTATCAGACCCAAAAATGCGGCACCGCCTATAATAAGTTGGCTGGAAATGAGAAATTCACGGTTCAATCTTGGGAGGCTGAAAGCCTTGATAGAGAAGAGCCAGAGAAGAAGACTTGTTCCACAGCAGAAGGATGCTATTGCGGATGCAGCCAGTTGAAAAACCGCCTCAGAATACATCTTTTTCTTGAATTTTTATGTTTCGAGAAGAAAAAACCGTACCTATACTTTTCCTGAGCTTGGCTACCGTAGGGTTTTATATATTTTCAGGCTTGGATAAACCACTTTAACTCTATTTAATCCGACCCAAGTGCTACCTAGGAGGTACAGGACAGTAGGAAGAGTTACCTGATGCGGAACGAGGAATTTTGGGACAAAATGTCTAAGCTTCGAGGTAAATTGACTATAGCGTACACAAGATCTGCCAAGCATTCTACCTCCTGCTCAATATGCATGTACCACTTACCTCGGTCATTTTGCCATGATTTTGAGAAAGTTCTGACCATCAATCTCGGTCATATTATGAACTATCCTGTCTTGCTTAATACCGCGTTGTTGTTGACTGTTTCTACTCCTGCAGGCTTGTGTAAATCAGAGTAGGCAGATACATTGGGATCGAATGAGATTCTCTCGCACGGGAATCTGACGGCTTGATTTATGACTTTGCCTTCTCTGGTTCGTTCAAGATGAAACTGCGAAGTATGAATGCCCAACTTGGGGCAGGACGGTAACAAGCTCAAACGACCAACCTCCTAATATCCTCAACCCGGGCAGCCGACGACGTCCATATTAATCACAACATCTCACAACTACTAGCAACGATACGTACGTGCTTAGCGAATCGCAGCGATCAACTTTATACCCGAAGAACGCACGTTTCGATTCAAACACATTCGAATTCCCACGACCAAGTTCGATCATTTTGGGTCCCCCCCCGCGAGCACTAGTCTTGGTGTGCTGATCCTTTCGGATGGCAAATGAAGCGAAGGTGACACAGTCCGACTTGGTATGGCATATGTCCCGGTATTTTGCATACTCTTTCTGACCCGAGCAGGCGAGCCGCTGGCAAAATTTTACCACCGCCACATTTCAAGAGTCTGATAGGAAAGCCGCTCACCAGATCGATGCGTCCCTGACCGAAGAACAATTCTTTGCATGCGAATCTTGCGAGGAGATACTGTTTCAGAATGGGGATGGCTCAACCCTATTCCGGGCAGAGGGGAGTGGACAAATGAAGCTACCGCCAGGCATACAGGTCAGGGCAAAGGGTGGGTCGGCGAAATCACGACCGGTAGATTGAATTTACGAAATTGTAACATGATGTCCAGCCAACAGTCAGACTGATCATCATGAGTTGTGCTGGATATATATCTGCCTTCACACACTTAGTCTCAATCTCCCCGGTTTCCTGACTCCAGGCTTGACTCCTTGTAATAGCCTCGAAAGCATCATCTCCGAACGCCACAGCTATCTGGTTCTTGACAGCGCAACCAACCGAAAAACGCTCTGCTCCAAGTCAGTACTGGCCGGCTGCGACATGGAAGTCACTTACCAGCAGCCATTGTATCGCTCTCTGCGCATCCAAACAGATTTTGAAGGAGGCTCTGATCAAACATAATCATTACTCTGATTAACCCGTCTGTAGATCCCTCAGATGGGAGAAAAGTTGTGACGTAGCCGCGGACAGCCTTAATAAGCAACCGAGGAAATGTAGTTTGCATGGACTCAGGCTTGATATTTGTAGTATAGCACCAGGACGGTCCTCCGCTGAGAGAGTATTGAAGACTTGGTCGTATAGTGCCATTAACAATTCGTCTCAGACTGATATATTGTTAGCTACTTTTGCAAGATATACGGAAGATAGAACCTGCTTTTAAGACAATCTTCGTCGGCTGATAAGCTTAGAACTATCTTGTTTATCTTATCGCTCTTAGCGATAATCTTCACAGTTATTCAAGATGCGAAAACAGCTTATTCAAGTAAGATATTAATTACGAAACGTAAAGAAAGGTTAAGCTTATCTCTATTATATTATCTTTAATAAAAACGTTCTTATACTTAGCTTTAACTTAGCTTTATTAACTTTTATAAAATTTAATATTATTACTTATTTTAATTACTAGATTTATAATTATTTTTACTTAAAGGTAAGTTAAGTTTAATTTAACTTTAACCTATAATCTTATTTTTCTTATATATTAATTAATTACTTTATAGGTTTTTATTAACGTGAAAACTCACTTAATTTTACCTTAACTTTAAGCTGAACTTAATAAACTTATTATTATTTTTAAGCTTTAAGTCCGGCGGCTGTCTGCTGAAGGACAAGTGGTGATTTCACCTACATGTATGGCGTCTTCCCAAAAAGCTCGTCGCCCTCACCGACAATACACACAGCACCGGAAATAAACCAGTCCAGTTCCCCGTTTTTGACAACCCTGTTTTATCAGAATGATCGGAACGGAGTAGCTGTTCCGTACATCCTCTGGTAGCTACAAATCCGCAACGCTACTGGTAGCTGGAAAGATACTCAACAGTATCTAAGCCAGCAACAGAACACGGTGATTTGTATTCTCCAGTCAGGTTGTGTGCAGTACAATCTGCCACCGTTCGTAGGGCTATCACCCATCCGTATGGGAGGATGGCACGGGGAAATAATGATGGGCAGTGATGAGCTGTGCCTGCAAGCAATAACCATTGGAAATGAGTTCCTTGTAAATCGCCTCAAACAATACATGTATATGGTTTGCAACTTGGCAGGAGGTTCCCTGAGCACTGAAGGATATTGTCAATCAACAGCATAGCTGGCCAAACACACGGGTGTTGTAGACGGCTAAGCAAGCTATTCTGGTACTGCACAAAACATTAGATCACCTCAGGCATCATATGCATGATAAATTAGCTGGTGTTCAACTTGACCCAGAGCCAGCTAGCTACTTTGTGATGCAAGGCTGGCTCCTATGCCGGTCTCACACTCGTCTACTTGTCCAATCCTCGAGATTCAATAATGTCAACAATGCTCGTCTTGCCCAGACGCTCGGCCACCTGCACCGGTGTCTCTCTCCGATCGTTTACCAGATCAGTCCTTGCCCCTCGCCCAAGTAAAAACCGCACAAAGTCGCTCTGCGAAGCCGTGCCACCCTCACGCATGCCGCCCTCTACGGCAAAGTGCAGCGCACAGCCTAATGGAACTTGGATAAGCTGCATGCTGTCGTCATACTGCGACCTGGTAAATATCTCGTCAATATCGGCGCCGTGCTCCAGGAGCGTCTCGGCGGTGCGAGTTCGCCAATATTGCGCAGCCTGCTGAAGGGCTCGCGATCCTGCCACCCGCGCTCCGTACCCGAGGAGGGCACGCAGCACTTCGTCATTCGGCAGCCTCGCAGCCACTCCAAGAAGGCTGTTGGACATGTAGTAGCCGTTGGGATCGGCGCCCTTGAAGAGCAGGTACTCCGCAAGCGCAAGCTGGTTGCTGGAGACGGCTTGTGCCAACGGCGAGCCAGCTACACCCAAGCCGATATTGGGGTCCATGCCAAAGTCGAAAAACACGCGGAAGAGCCCGACGGGGTCCTTGCCGCCGATGGCTTCGTGGATGACGCCGTCCTCGTAGACGTGCCACTTGTCGGGGATGTCATTATAGGTGTATCCGTCTGGCAGGAGGGGATCCCAGCGCTTGTCTGGCCGGGCTAGACAGCCAGGGAGGTGCTGGAAAAGGAAGCGAGTACTCTCTGCCTGGCCTTGCTTGGCGGCAGTCTGGAGGAGGAAGCCATCCGTGGGGAGATGAGCTGGGTTGAGGCTTTGCACTGACCCAAGCAGTTCTCTCAGACGGTCGACGTCGCCGGCAGAGGATGCCTGGACAAGCTTGTCGCCCTGCTCTTCTAGTCTGCGTAGGTCTGAAGGAGACCCATTGAGGGACTGGATAGGTCCGTTACCAGCGCTACCCATGGTGATACTGAGCCGTTGTCTGGCCAGGTGGCTAGCAAATATATCGGTGGAGTGGTTCTTGGAGGCTGCAGGTGCCGCTGACGTCTTTGGGGGGGGGGAAGATTGCCGGGCTTTTATAGGGGCGAATTTACGCATGATACAGCACGGCGGGGGTGTATATATATATCAAGTGTCGGTACGCTCACGAGGGATACATATTATGGAAAGTATGGGCCAAAAGCTGCCTGCACGTACAGGCTTGACGGCGCCAGACCAGTCTCTTTGTTTCCAGACACACCAGCATTGGGTCCGTAAAGTACGGATTGCCTATGGAGCTAGGTGTCCCCCACCATGATATGATTCATTGGAAGCTCGTCCTCACAACGCGGCTAGCCAAGTAAGACATGTATCAGCAGGACGTATATCGCCGATTGTAGAACAGGCAAAGCTCGGTGTGTCGAGGTCTCAGCCCACCCCCAATCGATGTTACTTGAAATACACTCTGGTGGACTATATATATTTTGAGGGATGCCAAATCAACGTAAAGCTGGCCACGTAGAGCATCGTGTAGCCTTCCAAGCGTGTAAATTGAAGACTTGGTAGCCAACCACGACGAGCACGTAAAAGCGAATGAGTAAAGAGAAGAACAGAACAAGACAAAACGAGAGACAGAACTTTGGAAATAGTCAATGTAACCTCGCTTGCCGACACGCTTCCCAGTCCCAGCCCAGCAAGGCAAGAGCGCAAGCCGAGTCAACCTCATGCTCAGCCACGTCATGCCCGTCACAGACAATCTGGGTTACTCCCCATTCGATGCGCCGTTCTAATCCATAATCTTCTCTATCAGACCGGCGGGCTTGGTCGTTCCGTCTTTGTAGAGAATAAACTTTAGTATGCTGTTGATCCTAGCAGGCCTGGCATTCAGAGAGTCGATGAGAATCCTCTTCTCTATCCTACACCAGACAGCCAAGCATCGTGTTATATCCTTCTGCTCCGCGGCACGAGCCTCGGTAAAGTAGGCATACACGTGGGCTCTGGCAAGCTCGGCCATGACCTTGGAGATGGGATCCCAAAACATTTTGAACGTCTCATCCCAGTCCTTCCAGTGTCCGCCCTCGGATTTGGGCTTCTTATAGATTTCCCACTCCATCTTTCTCTGAATCAACATGCCTACCGTGAATCGCTGATTTTGTGTCGCAAAAGCCTGAGCTTGAGCCTCGGTTGCGCCGGACCAGAAGACGAGCTTCTGGGTATAGTTGACATATCCTGGCTGACTGTTGAGCGCTGTCAGGTAATCCCTGAAGTCCTTTTCCGTGGGAGGCTTGGCCAGTTCCTTGACCAGGCTGTCGACGTCATTTCTTGCGTCGAAGGGAACGGTCGAGAGAGCGAGATGCTCGTTCAGCCCATCAAGGTCGACGGCATGTCGTGCCAAGTCACCGCCTAGTGTGATTATTAGCAAGAGGCCAATGTCAGATTTTCAAACCGGTGCTCTATCTACGTTGACTGGTGCACCGTACAGGACTCAGGGGGGCTTACTGTCTTCATAATCGCCACGTTTGACTGTCTCAACAGGAGCACCGAGGACATTGGCAACCAGGGCTGAAAATGCCACCAACGTGAAGGCCTTCCTTAGGAAACGCATATTGAAGAGAATGGAACTTAGTATGGATATTCACTATCCAATGTGAATTTGATTAGAATGCTGTGAGTTCTGGTGTCGGTTTACGAGTTTCAACATGATAATAAATCTACTATATATATCCCGTCTATTCCAGCGAAATATAGCGGTATCGAATATATAATCTTATCAAGTATAGTATGTTGTGCCGTGCCGTCCCTCAGACACCATGGTAACAACCACTTGCCGTCACAATTGGCATGAGCTGCAGCACGACGTTAAGCAGCCACATCGAACTACTCGTATGCTCTTGCACGTTGTCTCTGACCAGCTACTGTCTCGCATGTAAGAGCGGAATAGGGCCTCGGCCGATTGCGCTGCGAACCCGAGCACCATGCGTATTCATATTCCATCCACGGACTGCAAGATGCCACACTGCACAATCCAGGCCATTCGGGAAGATGTATCCATGCAGTACTCTCGAAATGACAAAAAGGAGCAGGATACTAACTATTGCATACTATTATATGTGAAGCACTGTTTTTAAACGACGTATGTGGCATCAATCAGAGATATGTATTTCTTGAATAAAGATATTTGCAATCTCTCCTTTATTCCCAACTTGCAGCAAGTGAGGGATTTCAATCTCCAGAGCTTCTAGCGTGCTTATTCTCTCCAGTTTTTTGCCAGAGTCTGCTGCGGAGAGGACAATGTCTTATGCTATTGTCTCGGCTTATGATGCCTGGAACTTGGCCAGCTTTTGCGCTTTAGAAACAATTAGTCAAATTGTTCCAGTTTAAAACCAAAAAAAGAAAAAAGGAAAAAAGGTACATCTGTGCTCAGAGTTGTATTCCTAGCCTTGTCGTGTCAGCAGCTTGTATCTAACATCGGTCTTGGTACGGCTTGGTAGCATCCACGGTTGAGACAACCCGTACTTGATATCACGGCATGTACTTGACCTAATTGGCTGACTAGAGAGCAATCGGCGCCTGCATACCAAAATGCAACTTGAGAAAACTACGGAGTAGAGATGACAAGTTTATGCAAGACGGCGTATTCTTTTAAAGAAGTTTAGTAGACAACAGAAACCAAATCGGGGAACCGACTACCCCGTGAATCAGTCATCTGAAAGCCGGATCAAACTCGATGAGTTGGTCACAAGAAGCGTTGTTCCACGGCAAGAGACTTCTATCCAAGCACGTCTGCTGCATGCAACTAGTGCAGATTTCACACCGAAGTTGCGGAATTGCAGTCACGCGCTCAATTAGTCTGCAGATGTTTCAGAGTCAAGTCTGGTCGGCTATTACGTCGAGCGGGCGAAGCTCGGCACTCCCAAAGGTATCCAAAGCCACCATCTCTTTAGACGCTTCGCGGCTTGGCGATGGTCAGCTGAATGTTCTGCACACGCATGGCTGGCAAGACTCCCTAAGACATCTGTCAAGTCGAGAGCCGTACAAGTCGGCCGATTGTTCCAAATTGGTGCCGTGATGACTTGGAATATGCCACGACGGGTGTTGGGTTGACGGCTGAGCCATGGAGCAAAACAATCCCAGAGATGGCGGCCCTTGGGGAGTGTTCCCACTATCCAGCTTCTATGTGTGCCCTTTTAGCTCCTTGGCCCGTGATGGAAATGCCTTTTTTTGTATAGATTCAAAGGCACCAAGTATCGGCTTACAAAAGTGGCAGCATCCTTATGACAACGACTTGTAGAAGCTCGTTTCCATCACATTATTGAAAGACTATGGGTTCCAACAAGAACCTGCAATTCCATAGGAGACATACTACAGCTCGATATCCCCATCATGTTGCTCCGGTATGACTAAACGCCAAGCCTCGAGTAGGTGCAATTTTTGCAGGATGAAGCTTCGTGACGCAAAATCCCACTGCGTTTTCAAAAGAGCCAGTATAAACGCATCTAGTGCATTACAAAAAGACCCAAGAGCCCTAGCACGCGAGACAGTGAGCAGCTATATCGACTTGAAAACAACTACCAGACAGAATGCAGTCAAAGTCTGTTTTTGTGTGCCATGGCACAATATCGCACCCAGACTTCCCCGCCAATAGACGACGACCAATTCCATCCGCCATCATCAGTAACCAAAGACTCGTCACCCCATCTACTCCAGCTTCGGACCCGTAGTCCCTGGCTTGACGCCGACGCCAAGAACAACCAAGACCCGGACGACCAAGAACGGCGCCGTGCTCCAAAACACCAGGTGATCGTCCAGTGTCCAAGCCGACAGACGAGCCCAGCTCGCCCACCCGCCCACGGCCTGGGCCGCCGAGTGGCAGAAGGCGACGTCGCTGACCAGCATGCCGGCGCACAGGAGCCGCCAGAGCCGCACGTCGTCGCAGGCACGCATCACCACGGCCTCGACAAACGCAAAGTACAGCCAGGCGCCGCCCAGCGAAGTGTACAAGAAGGTCGACCCCGCGGCGAAGGCGCCCCCGTGCCGCGTCATGGTCGACAGGTACGCCTCGGGCGCGCGGAACACCATGATGGCCCCGTTTACCGCAAACAGAGGCTCGACGACGGTTAACAGGAGACGATAGGAGCGCGGGACGCGTTCCGAAGCCGATGCTGTTTCTTGGGGCGGCATTCTGTTCCGCAAGGCTCGAGATGGGCTGGTGTCTGTTGAGGAGTTTGTGTCGGAGTTGGTTTTGTTGTGCGTGGAGCCGTTTGCCGCCGCGGCTATTGGTGTCTGGCTTTATCCGACCCGAAACGTCGCATGTCTTGTTCGAGACTGGGTTCAAGAAACGGTCATTTGTAGTTTTATTTGCATTTTTTTCTTTTCAAATTTGTTTCTCCTTTCTTTCTTCCTTGGAAGAAAATAGTACCCTCTGTCGTATGCCATCTCCATGGTTCCTACTATAACCCTAACCCTCATCGCATTCCATGGTGACAACTTCCAACGATGGGAGGTTTTCCCAGCCGCACAGGACCCTGGATTGCGTACCGGGGCGAAACCAAGGTGAATGATTCTGGGGAACAGGCTGTGGCACGACTGTTTCAAGGCCCCACGTGATGCGTAATGCCTATGCTAGGACTCGTCGACTAAGAGATAAGAGCGCGTGGCTCAAAGCAGTATCTCGCTGGGCGCGTTGGGGTCCTGGGTTCGAGTTGCATGATGCTTGTAATCAAGCCAGCCGCTCCATTGCAAGTCTGCTAGACACGCGCAGAGACGCCTTGCGGCATCCGCTTTGAACGGCGGCATATTGGTCTCGGCACCAAGACTGAGGGTCGGGACTCGCCGGGGAAATGAGCAGAACAATACCGTACGGAACTCCAGTTTCAGGGGAATGTTCGGCTGAGCAGACATGGCCCCCCCCCCTGGTACTCGGTACTCGGTGCTTATGTACAATGTCGCCCTGGGTTCCGCACCAGAACTTCAACCAAGACTCCCCCACGCCGTTCATTTTCCATCAGCACTTTGTCCTGGACGGGCAGTGTCAGACGCCACTTGGAATCCTGTCAGGGCTGCCTCGAGTCAAAATGTTCCCGAGACATGTTTCTAGAAGCATCAGTGCGCTCTTCAGCCCCTTCTTCACTAAACTAGTCGTGGCTTCTTGGGTGCCAGGGGCGCACAGCACAAGTCCATTGTAGCAGGGAGATGCGATCTTGATGGACGTGAGCCAGGTCCACCATCCGGCTAGGATATCGTGTGTGGACATGCCTTTGCCGGGAACATGTTTCAACCCAACAAACTCTAGAGGCAGATGCTATTGGCACATGACTCAGCGGAATGTTATTTTCGGCGAGGCCAGGTTTGAAGGAGCAAGCTAGCGTGCGAGGACCGGCATGACATTGCGAGGGAAAAAAACCAGCGACCTGCGATGCCTTTGTGGCCGAGAGGGATGGTCCCTCAAGATCCGGGTCGCAGGGCCGGATAGATAGGATACACCCAGTCTTCACAACCCTGTACCCGACAAGACTTTAACAATGAGTTTGTCCAATGTAAGTGCTCCTGCCTATTTCGTCTTGACCTAACTACTGTGTCCAGACGAGCCAAGGTCGACGGCGTAGCGCATACAAGTTGCTGAAGAGGCCTTGGCGTCTCGCAAAACCTTAATCACAGCCGACGCGCATTACCTTCTAACCAGACTTGGTAACCCATCGGCAGCGACCTGGCTGAAGGGGACCCGAGAGTCTCGACTTTGGCGGCCCCATTGATCGACTCCAAGACTAGTCTTCCCTGTTCAAGCAAAAGGATCGGTCTTGTTACTGGCATTACTGGAAACTCTAGGGGGGGGGGGTTGGCCCCCTTGA